TCGAGTATCTGGACTGGGGTTTCCGTTATTACCCTCGCACATTGGGCACTGAAACTTCGCCGCCCCGCAGTTTATCAAGGAAACCCAACGTTTGTACAATCCCGCATTTCAGCCTACTCGCCAGGCCATGAAAGGTATGTCCAGTGTATTCACATTGCTGAAGCTAATGGTGGCTAGATGTCATTATGCCCGGGGGTATTCTTGTTCCCAAGGGCTCACAGGTCGTTGTCACATTACACTCGGTGATGAAGAACCCCGAGCACTGGAAGGCAAGAGCCTTTTCTACACTGTAGCTTTCGACATTGAAGAGACATCTTATTTGCAGGACTCACTCACGTTTGATCCGGATCGCTGGGGCACGGAGGAAGTTCGAAAGCGGCACAAGTATGCGTACATTCCGTTTGCCACGGGTGGGTACATATGTTTTCTTCCAAACAATTTTACTGACTGAATTTCTTTTTTCAGGCGCGCGCGGCTGTATTGGGTCCAACTTTGCTCTTCAAGAAATCAAGATTATTCTTGCGCGCGTCGTGTTGAATTTCCAGATCCAAAATGTGACAGAAGGCTCGGTCATCTACGATCCCGAATTCACTCTCTATCGGCCCCTGAACTTCCATATGAAACTGCGTAAGCAAGTCGACCCCGCAGAAGTGGAATTCAAGGATATTCCGGTTGAGGCGAAGATCCAGGCGCCTGAGCCTTCTGTTGGCACGAAGGCACTGCCCAGATTTTGGGCTGTCCACGCCTCCAACACCGGGACTTGTCAGGGAATGGCCAGCGACGCCGCTGCCAAGGCGCAGTAGCTCGGGTTTGCTGATGTTCAGGTCGTCTCGCTCGCCGACTCCCCGCTCGCCGACGCAAAGAAGACGGCGGGGATCAGGGTGGGGTCGAATTTCTTCGTCATTTGTGTCGCGACATACAACGGCAAGCCGCCCAATGCCGCGTTGTCCTTCTCCGAGATGTTGGACAGGGAGGTGAAGGCGGGAAACAGCGCTCGTTTCGCAGGGATCAATTTCTGTGTCTTCGGCGCAGGCAATACGCAATGGGGCCCGACTTACCAACTCTTCGTGAGCTGTTTTCTTTATCATGGCACTCGATTCAGAAGCTCATTTGCCATGTCATTTATCAGCCTAACAAAGTCGATGCAAACATGGCCGCGCTCGGAGGCAATCGCATCTTCGAGAAAGGCACGGGCGATTTGAACGTCGATCAGGACGGCGATTTTACAGAGTGGATTACGAGGCTGTGGGCTGCTACGGCAGCCAATTTCGGAATCGATATAAACAAGGGGACACAAGGCGGGGAAAGCACCACCAACATGCTCACCACCTCGCCCGAGTATAGTGCCGACTCGGTCAAGGTTGCATTCCTCCAGCAGCCCTTCCCCCCCGGCACAGGATCTTCCCTATCTCAGCCTCCCATTCCAGGCTTCGTTCAAGCCACTCTTCGGTCTAACATCGAGCTCGTGGATAAGGACACTCCTTTTCCTCGCGGAATGCGGCTCCTCACCTTCGATGTGCCTGCGAGCTTCACGTATCGGGACGGCAATCATATGGAGGTTTTCCCAGAGAACAACCTCGCTATCGTTGACCGCCTGCTCGTTACTCTCGGTCTTGTCGGGGAAGCCGTTTTCACAGTGAAGGAAGTAGCTTCCAACGCCAACCCGAAGTCGCTCGCGGTCTTGCTCCTGAATCGAGGTCAGATAACCTTGCGCGAGCTGCTACTCTATTATGCTGATCTGGCGGGCCCCATTCAGCATAGCAGTCTCCAAGTCCTCTGTTCCTTCCTCCCTGCTGACGAAAAGTTCAAGAGTCTCCGAGAGACTCTGAGCAATGCCAGTACGGCCTCAGACAAGGACAGTGGAAATTCGTTTGCTCAGAACAATCGGAACTTTCCCGCACTGCTCGCAAATTACCCGATGCTCGCCCAGGTCCTCAACCTTCAACAGCTGCTCATTGTCCTATGTGCGACCCAGCCGCGCCGCTACTCCATTGCCAGCAGTCCATTGGTTGACCCCCATGTTGTCAAGCTCTGCGTCGGCGTTGAAGATACACGAGTCGCGGACTACGAGGGACTCTGCTCAGGCTTCCTGAAGCGCTCCGAGGTTGGACATGTCGTCTGGGTCAGGTCTCGGGCCACGCAAGAGTCTTTCCATCTCCCGGAAGATCCCGCGATTCCCATCACAATGGTCGCCGCCGGCACTGGGATTGCGCTGTTGCTTGGATTCCTGGTAAATCACCGCTTTTAAAAATGCTTATAAATCTTACTTATGCCCCGCCCAGGAGCACCGACGTGCGCAGGGACTCAAAATCCCGGAGTACGGAGGGAAAGCCCCCTGCCGGCTTTTCTACGGGACCCGACATCATGACATGCCGAGTCTGAGAGCGTGAGTTTCATTTCCAACATGAAAGAGACTCTTTCGGCTGACATAAATTAGTAAGGTTGACGAGTACGTCAACGAGGGGACTGTGGCTCTCGAGGCAGCCTACTCGACGGACGATACTCCAAGGCGCTACGCTCAACAGATACTACTACGCGACGCGCTGACAATTTGGAGCGACATTAATAATGATGGTCGCATCTACGTCTGCGGGTCGGCCGCCCGAGTCGGAGAAGGAGTGAGAAAGAGTTTGATGCACATCGCAGAGCAGATGGGAGGAGTCACTGACTCTGTGGAGTGGTTAGCCGGACTCAGGAAAGAAGGGCGTTACAGCGAGGACGTTTTCAGTTAATTACAGTCTCGGGGGATAGCCGTAGGCTTCCTATGTCAATTTTGTATTAGCGCACATTTCACTGCTATATTCCTTGTCTTCTCGTTCATCGCATTCAAATCCCAGGTTATTCTTACATAAATGTAAGCTATAAATCGGAATTGTCGGATTTCAGGCTACTGTTTTAGAAGACAAGGACGTCGACAGCATTCGGATACATCGGGGAGAAGGCTGGCAAGGATAATTTAAATCTTTTGTCTACTTGGTGGCTTAGTACAATCGGCAGAATGAAAGAAGGCCTTCGTTAGTTCGGAATAACAAGTATGGCATACACATTAGTATTCGATCGGGATGTTCCCACGGTTCAAAACGGCTCAACGCCAAACAAATGATGTGGCCATGCCAAGTTCGGATCAACGCCCAGTTCCGGTTTAACTCTTGCTTCAATATAAACCACAACTCACTGTGACATGTCGAGCTCCATGTCTTGGTGTTCAGCGGCTTCGAAGTATTCGTGGCTCGGAAGACATTTCATCTCGAGTTCACGAGTGCATTCCAACTTGAACTTTCGGCCCCGCCACCATCAAGCCGCCATGGCGAAACTTAAATCCAAGTTGACTCGGTCGGGCTCTTGTTCTATGCACCTAGCCCATAATTTGCCTTGCAGACTGTGCAACTGATGGCACAAGGTGTGCGTCTGCAAGATTTAATCCATAAAGAGCATCTCTTCAGGCAGAAGGTCCCCCGTTCGATTTGGGGTCGGGTGATGGCCTTACTATCCTTTTTTCAGTTTCCCTTCCTCGGTTTCTCTTTTGCTTTTCAGTGGGAGCTCACTCTCGCCGCGGAATTCAACCCCAAGGATTACAGTATGTGTGGGACGACATAAGAGGCTGCTGGAAGTTTACTTGATTTTATTATCAAGTTCATGATCAATATCATCAAGCTTCAACTCGGGATTTCAGAAGTGTCTTTGTTAGTCTGAGATTGAGGGTATAGAGCATGCAACCGATGGTACAAGGTGTGTGTCTGCTACTCTTGCGAAGTGAAGCCGTGAGTTTAGGCAGAAGATCCCCGTTCGATTCGGGGTCGGGTGATGGTCCAATAGTTCCTTTTTTCTTTCGTTTCCCTCGCTCTCTTCTGGTTTCGTTGAAGACTCGCTCACTCGCGCTGGGAATTCAAACTCAATGTCTGATAGATTTCAGGCGAGCGAAGAGGCTAGAACTGTCGATTTGTGGGTCGGTAGCCAGTTACTTTGATTTTCAACCTCACAACTTTGAAGCCAGATCGGGATCTCGGAAAGTCTGTCTTACTCTAAAATTGGGGATGTAGAGCAAGCACCTGATAGCACAAGGTGTGCATCTGTGACTCTTGGATAGTTTTGTTGTTCTTTTTCTTAACTTTTTCTTCTTTTACCCCAAGTCTCTTGGACCCGGTTTCGGACGCAGAAATCGATGAATCAATGAATTCTGGTATTTACGACAGCTCGGAACGAGGTTAAGAATGCTTGAGCAGTATGTAAGCATTTTTTTAGTTCGGCCAAGTTCAACTTGACATTGATGAAGCCAGCTTGAGATCTCGGAAGCTGTGTTGTACTTCGAGATTGGTAGGTACAGAGGAAGCATCCGATGGCACAAGGTGTGCGTTTGCTACGCTTGGGGAAGCTGTAGCTAAAGCATTTATGCAGAGGGTCCCCGTTCGATTCGGGGTCGGGTGATTAACCATTAACCTTTCTTTTTCAGTTTCAGTTTCCCTCTCTCGTTTTTTCTTTTTCTTTCAGTGGGAACTCGCTTTCACTGGGGATTTAAACTCAACGAGTCTAATATTTTGGATGAAGAGGCTCATACTGGGTCTGTGGATCTGTGGAGTTCAAGTTGTGCGCGGGGTTGATTTTATTTCAAGTTCAAGTAAAGCCAGCTTGGATCTCGGAAGGTGTGTCTTAGTCCGAGATTGGGGGTGGAGAGTATGCACCTGATGGCACAAGGTGTGCATCTGCTACTCTTTCATATCCACTGCTGGGCAGTTTAGCAGAAGCTCCCCGCTCGATTCGGGGTCGGGTGATTACGTCTGTGTGTCTCTCTTTTGTTCTTAACTTTTTCCCTGCGCCTCTTGGGCTCGTTCGCAGGACGCAAAATACTTGCTTCGGCATTTACTACAGCTAGGAACGAGGTCAGGAACGCCTGCGCAGTGTGTGAGTATTTTTTAGTTCGGCCAAGTTCAGCTTGACATTGGTGACATCAACTGAGATCTCGGAAAGCATGTCTTAGTCTGAGATTGGAGGTGTAAGAAAGGCACCCGATGGCACAAGGTGTGCGTCTGCTATGCTTGAAGGCTGGGGTTAAAGCATTTATGCAGAAGGCCCCTGTTCAATTCGGGGTCGGGTGATTTTCTGTTCTTCTATGACTTTTTTCTTTCTCTCCTTTCCCCCCCTTCGTCTCTTGGCAGGCTTTCAGACCCTAGGTCATGCGAGGTGGAGCTTAATTGTCGTATTTATTACCTAGGAACAAGGTTGAGAATGCTTAAACAGTCCGAGCATTAATATTATTCAGGTCAACCAAAGTTGACTTCAGCTTTTGAAGAAGCCAACTTGAGATCTCTGAAAGTGTGTCCCAATCCGAGATTGGGGATGGAGACGCACCCGATGGCACAAGGTGTGCGTCTACCAAAGCTTGCAAAGGTACCAGAGGTTTAGGTAGAAGGGCCCCCGTTCGATTCGGGGTCGGGTGATGCACCATTCCTCGTCGTTTTTTCTTCCTCTCCTTTTCCCCCCTTCGCCCTAGAGCGTGCGAGCGGTAATTCAATTCTAATACTTATTACAGCTACGTAGGAGCGAGGTTAGGAATGTGCGAGCTTTTTCTTTTTCAGTGAGGGGTCGACTAGACATTGATGCAAGCGAAGTCGAGATCTCGGAGTCTACTTGAAGGTCTCTGGTAGTCTGAGATTGGGGGTGTATGGCATGCACCCGATGGCACAAGGTGTGTATCTGCTATATTTAAAGACGCGATCGAAGCTATTTATGCAGAAGGGCCCCGTTCGATTCGGGGTCGGGTGATGGTCTTGTCGAATCATGTTTTTCAGTTTCCCTCATCGGTTTTTCTTTTGCTTTCACTGGGAACTCGTTTCCGCTGGAAAATCGACCCAAGCATTCTAATATTTAGGACGAAGAGGCTCAGACTGGGTCTGTGGATCTGTGGAGTTCAAGTTGTCGGCGGGGTTGATTTGATTTTAAGTTCAAGTAAAGCCAACTCGAGATCTCGGAAAGTCTGCCCTAGTCCGAGATTGGGGATGCAGAGTATGCACCTGATGGTGCAAGGTGTGCATCTGCTACTCTTTCATACCATGCAATAGAAGGTCCCCGTTCGATTCGGGGTCAGGTGATGGTCTTGTCAATTCATTTTTTCAGTTTCCCTCATCGGTTTTTCTTTTGCTTTCAATGGGAACTCGTTTTCGGTGGAAAATCGACCAAAGCATTCTAATGTAATTGGGATGAGCAAAGAGGCTCAGACTGGGTCTGTGGATCTGTGGAGTTCAAGTTGTGGGCGGGGCTGATTTGATTTTAAGTTCAAGTAAAACCAGCTTGGATCTCGGAAGGTGTGTCCTAGTCTGAGATTGGGGATGTAGAGCAAGCACCTGATGGCACAGGGTGTGCATCTGCTACTTTTGAACAAATGCTTTGCAGTCTATGCAGAAGTTCCCCGTTCGATTCGGGGTCGGGTGATTTGGATTTTCGATTGAGCTTTTCTTTCGCCCTCTCTGACTCGAATTTCGTTTTTATATGTATGGTGCCTCAATACCAGTGTTCAGGTGATATTGATCAATTAGACCTCTAGAGGGTGTCACTAAACCTTTTTCACAGATGTGGAGAGTCTGGAGACAGAGCTTCATCTTCTTGGCGTAACCACTCGGACTGGATTTTTGTGGGCCGATATCGAAAGCCGACATCAAACACTTGCCACGGTCGATTCGCTCCCCAGCACGTTTGAAGATTTTCTGATCTCTAAGATTTCTGCCGACACCTTCTTGAAGGCGTACATCGGACTTCATAAGCACACAGCTGCTAGGAACTTGCTCTCCTGCACCCCGTTTAAGGGCCTGATCGGGTGCACTAGAATTTTTCCTGAGAATTTTAGTGTCCTCTTGATCTTGCCATTATCCCGTCTCTCTGTGTACTCTAGGACTAACTAAATCCATATCCTACGGATTCTTATCGTGGTGAGGGATATACAAATGAAATCAGCTGAAGTGGTTGACATTCTCGCACAATTCTTGAAGAATCCTAGAATTTTCAGTACTTCAACTTGGCTAATATGTTCACCTCTCATTGGCTAGATTTCATAGAGAAATGGTTCAAATAGGTCTAGAGCACATGGAGGGACGAGCAAGTGTCAGAATAGGAATTCTCTGGAAATTCTAGAGAAATTCTTGTGCACCTGATCAGGCCCTTATAGAAGACATGTCAGGCAGGCTTGACCATTCGCCACCGATGGGGCAGCAAGTTAGCGGCTGCATGGAAGCTTCTTGATAAGGCCGTGGCTGACGGTGCTTCGTGTTTACCGATATGGTGGCTGGCAATGCGGGACTGGTGGCAAGGACGCAAAGCGGCCTTCAAGACGCTTGATAGTTTATACAGCGCTTTGTCTGAGAGAGTTCATGGTCCAGAGCACAAGTGTAATTTATAAATAAAATCTCCCTTCCTAATCACGGATCCATCGTCTCACTTCTTGGACACTGCCAGTTCCCGGAGTTTCGCCATTAAGGTCCCGCCCTTGTGAAAAAAACTTATATGCATGTCATGAACCTCCAGTGAGCACAAAGTCCGCACCGAAAATAAGACCCCGGCGGAAAATCAATCTAATTCATTCTTCATTTATCCAGGAAGTGGGACTCTGCCTGAATTTTTGGTGAGTACACTCGTACACTCTGCAAGGCTCCTGCAACTGACTACAGCACTCTCTGAGGAAAAAAAAAAGAAGTCGAAGCACTATGGTGCACGCCGCTTAGACACCGGTTCTTTGCGACAAGTCTATCTAGTCGCTCAAAATTTGACCTATTTTCTTTGCCTCTTGCAAAAGGACTCCTTTCAATGATAGGAGGAGTTTGCCAAGAGGGATTCTTGATAATTAAATATTTGAGAGCGTTATAATTTTTTCAACCTCCCGATTTGGCAGGCTGACATACATAGTGCCTATTACTAGTCGGGGCGCGGGTCACCCGCTCCGTGATGCGCCTATGTGATTTGTATGAGGTGGAACTGTACTGCCACACTTGAAATTGAGCATCCTGGGTTTCCAGGCCAGCTTGGTAAGCATCCATCCACCGGACCATCCGATGTTCCCATCGTCAAATAGTTGCCAATTTCACGGATGCTAAAGCTTTCAGCATATTCTCCTTCGGGGTGTCAAACGTGTAATTGCAGTTATCACGGAGATATTTCTTGACCACTCCCCAAAGAATTCGATGAAGTTGAGCTCGCAATGAAATTTCGGGGGGAAAATGCAGAGGTGAACAGCAGCTTCGATGGCCTCCTGAACGAGGGACTTCTGAACCATAAAGTCGGGCTGAAGTTCAATTAAGCGCTTGCAGCAGCAGGCGACTTAAAAAAAAAATCGGCCTCCGACCGATTTGGCAGTAGTTCCGAAGAAGCGGTGACTAAGCGGCGTGCACCATAGAGATCTAGTGCTGTTCGAACTGTGGGAAATAATCGGCAGATTCCGATGGCACTGGTTCAAATGTAAATACCCGTTCCGTGCAAATTTCAACTCAGAATTCAGTACATCGACACAATCCAGTGTTGCCACACTTGTCTGTAATGTTCTCCTTCGGCAAGTCTTGTCCTTGGCCACAAGAACACTGATTGTTCCATATTGTCATTGATCCAACAATACTTCAATTGTACTTGGATCCCATCCTTTGTTCTGTTCTGAACCCCAATTCACTGCGATGACAGCTATGGACGATTGTATTGGGACATTTTGCTTGATTATTGTTTTATACAGTCCTTGTTTATGAGGATTCAGATATAAGTAGGCAGCGAAATGAGCTGCTGCCATAAAAAACGAAGGCCCCCACCCAGTATCAAGTAACAAAACTAAGGTTCCCCAAGCCTGGAGGGCCACGCAGCTTAGAACTTCTAGGGATGGCAGGTCGCTTGATGCGGTTGGTGTCCTATTCAGCAAACATTTTTCTCGACGGGAACTTATCATCTCCATAGGCAGCTCTTAGAAAATCCTGAGGAAGACATCACCCGCGCGAATGCAATCATCCTAGTACAATTGGAGATGAATATGCCTGGACGTTATGACTTTAACGCGGAATAGCCGCTTGGCCCGAAGATAAAGCATTGATCAAGGGGTACATCGACGAGATGGCTCACTACCAGTGCTCAGGTAATATCGGCCAGTCCGAGTCCCCCAGATTGCAAACTCAAACCTTTTTCATAGACATGGAGGCAGAGCTCCGGATTCTCGGTGTGCCCGATCAGAATGCATTCCCGACGGGAGTCGAGATAGTGATCCAGGACACAACAGCCGCAGTGGTGGATCCACTCCGAAGGACGATTTCCGGACTTCTCACAGCTTTCCACTGAGAATTTCTTGAAGGCATGCATAGAAATTCACGACCACACGGCTGCCAGACATTTGTTCTGCTGCGCCCCAGTTGACACCTCGGGCATTCCTGAGCATGCGCATGCGGTGAAGAAAGTGGGCGGCCGCATGCGATGCAGACTCAAAGCGCTGTGGTTACCAATAATGTGTAGAATGCCCCAGAACGGATGCCCGGCTTCATGCTCACCGATAAATGCGTGGCTGGCCATGCAGAACTGGTGCGCAAGACGACAAAGGGTCTTGAGGACAATTCTAGGCCACTGATAATTAATGTACGGAACAAACTATAACAGTTAAGCAATGGATGTAGGATTTGAGACAGCCTGTCCATTATGATACCTCTGCTGATAATCGTGAGCGTTTCCAGTGCATGTGTCGCCGTTGCAGACATGAATGAGCATGTGTCGGGCGACATTCATATTAACCCCCTCTAGGCCGAAATCGCCAAACGATCGTCACAGTGCGTGATGAATAGACTCGTTACCAGTCTGCCTACAAATGGCAAAAAATTGTGGCAAGCACTTTGCCGTAGAGTCTACGTGATGAATATCATCTGTCAAGAGATTTGGCGGCACTGCGCAAAATGAGCCCCGCGGTGGGAGGGAAATCGTGGTCGAGAGTACACAGCGCAAAGGGAGATGAATCACCTTCGCCAAACGCGGAAAATTCAGGTTAGTTCCTGGCGCCCATACCATTACCATATTCGAGCGCTCATGACGCTAATATTGCCTGTCATGGATAGCCGAGTAAAAATTCAAGTCCTAACAAACCAAGTCCCCGTGGCAAGGTGAGAGGCGTCTTGACCACTGAGCATCGGATGAACGGCGTTTCCCTATTTTTCAGCAAGTGCACCGCCTGAGTTTGGCAAGGACACGCTACATACACTCGTCAACCAACATGCTCCCCATCACCACGTCCCTAGAAGTCCGGTTATGACAAGGAAATATTCACAATGTCAGGGGTAGTCGGCGCTGTCCTTCGACCGATTGTGTCGTTAATTATTCAACGTCATTCGGCGGAAATTTAGAAGGCCGCCCGCGCACACGCGCATTCAAAATTGATGGCCCTGGCAGGGTGATCGGTGATTAGTTTAGCGCAGATATCTTTACTTGCTACCAACTAGCTGCTACCCTGGGTTATCGTCACCAATGCTCTCGCGCTGCCCCGTTCGAGAGCCATCCCACCTGCCGACCTTCATCAGCGCCGAATAGCTCGCCAGCGCCCAATCCGCGCTCTACGTCAAATATCACCAATCCAACCTCCTTGGGCCAACAGAGCAGGCACAATCCCAGCGCGGTACTTGTCTTGGCGTCCCCAGCTCTCCATCCTGGCTCTGCATATAAACTCTGCTGCTCGACTACCCAAATTCCAAGCTGAAGACCTCCTCTCCGCTAACAGTAAGATGCACTTCTCCCTGTCGTTCGTCGCGCTCCTCGCTAGCTCACTC